TGGGATGTGATACAAATTACTGCTTATACACCAGGTGATTCAGTTTGATATTCGCGGCATCGTATCTCGTTTACTTTAACAAATAGCTATAACAAACCCTATATACTTTTAAATCGCCACTCAAACTATTAAATGACATTATTATATCGTCTCCATGGTAACATACACATGTCAAAATTGATATAGTCAACTGTTTTTTTCAAATGGCACTACATATTTTTTATCAATTCTGGAAGATATTTATTTCTGCGTTCAGCAATATAAAGAAGTCTATAGTTTCATTAGAAATATTGCCAGAAAAACAGCAAAAAAGATGAACCCTACTTTCAGTAGCCTTATTCTGAAAAATGATAGCTAGGTGTGGAAACAACCGAATTTTGACGTTTCTAAATAACGGTTTGTCAAAATAATGGACATTTTGTACCTACCTATTATATCTATAACTAATTATAACATAAATACTTATAGTAGGTAACCAAGAAAAACTAAATATGTTTTTAATTTATGGAGTGCTGGAAGAATGCTAAAGCTGACAGGCATTTATACCAACATCGTTTTCCGCAGAGACAACTCATCAGATAAAATTTTCAGAAAGTTAGCCAGGAATTTGGCGGCAGATGGAAGTTTTCAAAAGAAGAGTTTTTAAACCCAGTAGGATAAGAGATGAATATTTGATAAAGATGTTTAATGGCCTGCTAGATCTCCAGGTCTCACTCCTATAGATTTCTTTCTTTGGCCTTACCTATAAGAAAAAGTTTACTCTTCGCCTTTAAATGATATTGACGATCTTAAAAACAGAAGAAGAGTAAAATGTCGGAGATTAAATGAAGAAACACTAGAATGTGTTGGTAGAGAGGGAGTGATAAACAGAGCTATTCTGTGTTTGGAAGCAAATGGAGGTCATTTTGAACATTTGAAATAAGTATTGATTTAATTGTTATATTATTATCGTACTAAAAATAAAATTGTTACTTTAAAAAACATAGTAACTTGTTTCCGCAGCTGGCTATCATTTTTCAGAATAAAGCTACGAAAAGTAGGGTTCATCTTTTTTTGCTGTTTTTCTAGCAATATTTCTAATGAAACTATAGACTTCCTTACATAGCTGAACACAGAAAAAAAATATCTTCCAGAATTGGTAAAAGAATATTATAGTGTGCCATTTGAACAAAAACAGTTAACCATAGCAATTTTCAATCAATTGATCAATTCTTTATTTCCATTAGACAATTTACAAATTGATATATGTTACCATGAAGACGATCTAATAATGTCATTTGATAGAGTTTGAGCGGCGATTTAAAAATATATAGGGTTTGTTATAGCTATTTGTTAAAATAAAAGAGATACAGGGGCCACGAACACCAAGTGTACCAGTATACAGGGTGATTAACTTTTTATGATTAGGACTTTGACCATCAACAAATTTCGTCAAAATAATGACATTTTGAAGTATGTATACACTTTGTCTTCCAAAGGCTTCGTTTTAGAGATAAAAGGTCTTGAAAAAACATTTTTTTTGTTTTTATTTATTTTTTCTTAAACTATGAAAGCCATTTGTAGTATATTTAGTATGAAGTGTAAGAATGAAAAGCTCTTATCGATTTTACAAATTATTGTGAAAATATTATAGTATTCTTTAGTTTACAGAACCGTTTAGAAATGTAATAAAATTTGACATTTAACATATTTTTTTTCGATTGTACCCCTCCAATTACCTGTATCGGCGACACTACTTTTCAGAAAGAAACCGTTTGCACATTATTCTTAACGCACAGTTTGCGTTTACTCTTGGACAAATTGTGACATTTTTATCTTTAGCCAATTTAAAGATAATTAAGGAAACCATTTGGAAAGTAACAACTTCAACACACTGTATCTCGAAAACAGGGCATCTAAGAAAAAAACTTTACATGAACTACCCCTATTATTTTCCCATGAGGAACTTGCACACAAGTTTTTTTGAAACATGAACGGGACACCCTGTATAACCCTGACAATTTAATTACTTCCACCATTGATTGCTATTTATTCTTTTCATACAGTACTGGATAATTGATTTTCATTTTCATTTGCTCAGAAATTCTTTTATGTGATTATTTCGATATCCATAAAATATCATTAAACGTGCCTTGAAGGTCAAATATTGGTATATTCATTCAGTATTCTACAAGTGTCAAGTATTTGCTCGACAATGAAAATGCAAAATAATAAATCTAATGAAGATATGGGATATTAACCTTGAATCAGAATTATTACATAGCTGCATTTCAATGATTTGCTATTCTGCAACATTTGAGGAATTGGATGCGAATGAAACTCGACCGGTTACATACAATAGCGTTCTTTGTAAAACATTGAAATATTTTTTATTTTTTTCATAATTATGCTATTAAAATACGTTGTTTTACGTTTTTTCCATCTTTTAAATATTGTGGGAATATATTTACAAAAATAGGTACCTAATAATAAGAAAACCAAAGGAAATTATTTTATTAATTGTTCTGTTTCTGTTGCAAAATTCCAAATCTTAGAAATACTGCTAATAATACTGATTAATGGTGAATGGACATAAAATAAATTCAAAATACTTGATACTTTGAGAATGGAAGAAAACAACAAATATAACAATGCATATATCAGTGAAAAGACAATTTGATTATCTATAATGTGGTGCAAAAGAATACAGGATGTTCCATTTGAATTAAAAAAGTTTTGTCAGTTTTAAACTTTCAAATTGTAACGTAAAAAAAGGGAGACTTGGTATAATTTTATTAAGGTGATTTTAATAGTAGAAGGATCTTATGTTCTTTGATGTTGATTTAAGGAATTTCCGAAACGCTTGCATCTGTCAAAAATTTAAAAAAAATGTCGATTATCTCGAAAACTGTTAGATTTAGGTACAGAGAAGCTTTAAGCTTGGCTTATTTTTAATTTATCTTGTCGATAATGCACTAACATATACGGTGTTCCACTTAAAATAACGAAGTTGACAGCTAATTCCAGTATAACTGGAAGTGCTAGGTTGATATGACAGCATTTTCATTGAATAGAGCATATCTGATAACCCCCGTAAACAAAATATCTTTGGTTTCTCCGAAACGTTTAATAAGCCACTTACCGTGAAAAACGCTGTATGTATATACGTAATTTTCCGCGGTTATTAGTGTGAGGAATACCAGGTCCTCAGGTTGAACGTCTGAGATTGTTTACATCTCAAGTTTCGGCTCCCGATTTGGAACTATTTTCCAGAGTTTAAAGCTGGTTAAATTTTGACTTTCATATTAAGCTTTTTAGACATTCGATGACTTTCTGCCATAGTATTACAAACGACATAACCTAAGATTTACAGGAATGGCATAATTTGTTTTCATGTTAGTCTTAAACAGTAGGTTTGTCCTGAAGTGTTTTTAGGGTTATATTAGAGCATTAAATTCAAAAATATTAAGTACATAATTTTCTGACCATATAATTAATTCTTGAAAGTTATTAATCTTCTGGGTTATTGATCAAAGTAAATAATTTGTTTATAAAACTATTTTTTCATCGTTCATCGAAAACGATCGTTTCAGGTTTTATTCGATCGTAATAAACAATTGTTAAAAGGAAAAATAGTTTTATAAACAAATTATTTACTTTGACCAATAGCCCAGAAGATTAATAACTTTCAAAAACATTAAGGATTTTCACCTGAAAGTAAAATATTATGCTGCTTATAGCCTTAAAATACTTTGGATTAAATTTTTCACAAAATACAATGTAAGTTGTCGACTTACGATTGTTTGTTGGTACTGATAACGCCCTTTTGTTAACCGGCTGGGATAATTAAAAAATGTAAGCTGTAATTACACTCAACTAAATTTAAAACATGTATGATTCTTATTGTTGCTAGAAAAACAAAATAAGCTACGAGTTCGTTAAATATCAATATTTTTATTAAACCTAGTTCTTCTATAAGTACTGAATTGTCATTTTCCTCAGTTATATTATTAGGTCCGTTTAAAATTGAAATATTGTTTTCAGCGTCAAATGATTAACGGCATTTTTGTCAACTAGAACAAGACAAAAACTGGTCTTACAGTTAATTTATTAGTGCTTTGTAAAGAATCAACTTGGTTTTATAGATTAGAATGATTGTTTTTTATTGTACCTGGGTATTCAAGTGTGGCAACATTGAATTATTTCTCTAGTAGGTTTGAAACAATTAATCTAGATAGTTTTCAATAGTTTGCAGACTATTACCGAACACTTTTTACATTTTTTTTAAAAATGAACTTACCAGTAGGTACTAGCTAGATTGGAACACAATAAGACACTAAAAGTAACGTACCTAAGTAGTAAAATTACTATCGTAAGCAACATCACGTGACTGTATCTGTACATGCGATACTCTGCTAATATGTTTTCTAAATAACAACGAGTCTTACGATATTTTGGCTGAACCTTAAATAAAATAAGTGGATTTACGACAAGAATAAAACCGTTCCGATAGTTTGGCAAATCATTTAGACCTGTTACTTAAGATAATCAGAACAGTTTAATTTTGACCAAATATGTTACTTACGATACTTTGGCAAAAACCCATCCATATAATAATAAACTTTGCCATGCTACTGAACGTAAAACGAAGAAACAAATTAGAATGTCTGAAGTTATTTAATCATAGCAAACACCGATTGGCCAACAAATGGGTGCAAAAGCAGATATCAGACTGAAAACTTTGAAAATATGCAATTTACGGATAAAAATATGCAATTTTTCGTAAAATATGTACAATTCTTGAAATATGCATCATTTGTGTTCTCTGCCTTTTAAATTTTTTAATGCGGTAGCTCTGAAAGGTAGAGAGAGACTAGATTAGACACATCAGTATTCTATTAAAATGGGTGCTCCTTGAAACAGTAATTCACAAGTTTTAACAATTTTTCAAAATGTTACCACTTTCAAAGATATTTAAAGTCAGTCTAAGAGTATTATTTGTGTAATAATGATTTTTATACCATGGATTTCTCTTCTACTTCCACTATTATTCTTGTTTTCAGAATTTACTCTCGTGTCACAGGCTTGGATCATACCACTTGTACAGCGTTTTTGCTTTATCTTCTGCTCCATAATTTGTCTCTGTAAAAAGTTATAGATTACGATAGCATATAATTTCACCAATATTAGTAACTACAATATGAGAGGATTGAGGAAAAATTTTATGAAGTTACCACAATCGATTAATTTGACAAAAATCGTAGGTAATAATTTTATTATTTATAAGAATAAAAACTTGAAATTAGATAGACATAAATTCAAATCAAACAGTTTTATTTTGACTTGTCTATATTTTTTCACCATTTCTAATTTAATGCAATTGAACTTTGAATGTTTAAATAATACACCATGTACATTGTTAAATATGTAGTTAGACAGAATGCTTTCTTACTATTACAGTGATACAAGGTTTGATGGCCCATCTCTAATATGTGAAATAAACCTAAAAAAGTATGTCGTAAGCATAAAGCGGTAAATAAAGGCTTGACGTCTTGAGCTCACCAAAAGTTTGTGTATGTACTATGATAGCAGTATTGGCACTATCAGCCACCAGTGATCTCTTGGAAGCCTTTAATGCTCCTGTCAACAAAAACATCAATTGGACATTTGAGAATGACCTAACGATAATTGCACCAGGAGCTGATAAACGGGAATACACAAGGATATACAAGATATAACCTTGTGGTTATAATAATAATATTTATTTCTGACGACAGTTAACAACCATATAGTAATGATTGTAATGATTTGTTGTATGGAAGCAATAAATTATAAAATAAGTCATTTTTCGCAATTTGCATAGTAAAGTATATACTACCACTACAATATTAGTACCATCAAAATCGTTATTGTATAATGTACAGTACTATCATTAAAACAATTATTTATTTCAATGGTAGTGACATTATTATACAAAGTGTAGATAAAAATTCTAAAAAATTAAGGTGATTCTCTTTGCCCTCTTCTTGCGGATGTAAAGGAGAAAAGAAAATTTTAATTCAAAATATAAAATTATAAAAATAAAATTACATAAACAGAAATCAGGTTATTGAAAACAGGGTTTTAACCAATTATTTTGGTGATACAAAAAAAGTTACACACAAAATTACTCATAGGGTGGTTGCCTCTATGCCTTGCAAGAAATGATCCACCTTTTCATCACACTAGGCAACGTGTACAGGCTGGTCCATTTTCGATGGGATTTCAGGGTATCTCAGAAACTACTAAAGATATGATAAATCTGACACCACGTTCTCGAGCTCAATTTTCATGGCAAACTCGACTGTCAAATCGGAAATTTGCTATCTTCATTTGTTTCTGAGTTACAGGGCGTTTCTCGTTATTGTGACACTTTTGGACATGTCTGTATCTCAGCTGTTAAATAAGTTAGAGTTGAAATAAGGTAGAGTTAAAGTGAAAACTGCTCAAGACTAATTTTTTGGCGTAGAATTGAATGCCGGTATTAGATTTTTAGTAGGTCTTAAGATTCCGGAGTTATGACCAAAAGTAATAATTTTTTAAATGAAAATCGTAGCTGGTTATGACCTAAAAAAATGGAGATTTTTGTTGCTTTTCAGCAATATACCACATGCTATAGTTATTTTTCCAAACACAGAAGATATGGGGTGTTTTATATATAAATTCGATCCTTTTTTACATTTTAATATGGCTGGCTATGAAAATACATACAAAACTATAATTCTTACTTTTACAAAACTCATATCTGTTGTAAAAATATGACGTTTATTTAAAATATATATTACATATAAGAAAAGATAGAGTTTTCAAATTTTTATTCCACTTCAACTGAAGTTACAATATTAAACGTAAATTAAACAATAGTAAGTACCTACATGAATAAAAACTTTCCAAAATGATAGCTAAATGTTCAAATTGCCGTCCCTCAACTGTCACACATTTCACGCATCTTCTGGCAACGCTTCGGGGAGCATTCATTAAATGTATAGGTATTTGAAATTTTATTAAAAGGAATTTTAAATATAATGTCTTTTAAAAAACCCCAAAGGAGAAAGTCCAACAGACTCAAGCCAGGTAACCTAGCTGGCCATCTGATCGGTCCGTTTGTTCCTATCCACCTATCTCCTAAAATTTCATTAGTATTATATTATTACACGAGTATATGTTGTGCATTTAAAATAAATGTTATATTTTTACAACAGATATGACTTTTGTAAAAGTAAGAATTATAGTTTTATCTGTATTTTAATAGCCGTTCATATTAAAAAGGAAAAAAAATATAATTTATATATAAAACACCCCGTATCTCCCGTGTTTGTAAAAATAACTATAGCATATGATATACTGCTGAAAAGCGGAAAAAATCTCTATTTTTTTAGGCAATAGTCAGCTACGATTTCCATTTAAAAAAATATAACTTTGGGTCATAACTCCGGAATCTTAAGACCTACTAAAAATCTAATACCGGCATTCAATTCTACGCCAAAAAATTAGTCTTGAGCAGTTTTCACTTTAACTCTACCTTATTTCAACTCTAACTTATTTAACAGCTGAGATACAGACATGTCCAAAAGTGTCACAATAACGAGAAACGCCCTGTAACTCAGAAACAAATGAAGATAGCAAATTTCTGATTTGACAGTCGAGTTTGCCATGAAAATCGAGCTCGAGAACGTGGTGTCAGATTTATCATATCTTTAGTAGTTTCTGAGATACCCTGAAATCCCATCGAAAATAGACCAGCCTGTACAAGATTTTTTTTTCTGCATATTTCAGGGAAAAAAATAAAAACTAAATTTTTCTAGTGTAACAAACTAAATGTCTTACATATTTTTATTTCAAACTAAACGGTCTCTTTATTAACATATACTAGACTTTTTGTTACCTTGTGTTAGAATAGTTGCCTAATCTGATTAATATCTTACAAAAACCACAGCGCGCGTCTCATTGGAAGATTTATTTTTAGAATTATATTTTTGTTAATAATATTCCCTCATTATTTAAAAGATGCAACAGACGTGAAACAAAGCATTTTCTTAATGTAATTATGAATAGCGAATAAAAAATCAAAAATTATTTGAATGCTCCACAAAGTTTCACTCATGTTCAATTACAAAATCACAGCAATGTAGCAATGTAGCAAATCACAAAAATGTTGCTAATAATTCTAATTCGTGGTGGAAATTCAAAATATCTTCATTAGAATAATTATTTTGAATTTGTGATACTTGCAGAATACTGAATGACAATACCAATATTTGCCTTTCAAGGCACATTTGGTGATATTTTTAATGTAATATTTTAGAGAATGTAAGAAAATCGCAAATATTTGAGAAAATCGAAACTGTAACCCCTACAATGAACAATGCCTACATCGGTGAAAAGAGAATTTGACTTTAATATGGTGCAAAAAATACAGGGTGTTCCATTTGAATTTAAAATTTTCAAAATATAATGTAAAAAATGGTTTATTTTGTATAATTTTCTTCAGGTGAGTTTAATAGTGGAAGGTAGTGCATTTTATGTTCTTTGTGTGTTCCAAAAAGCAAATGAAAGCTTCCAGAACAAAGAAAGAAGGAATTTTCAAAACACTTGCATCTGTCAAAATTTTTATAAAATGTCGATTATCTCGAAAATGGATTTAGGCACAAGCAGTGCCGTAACAAGGTATAGGCAGAGTAGGCACACGCCTATGGGCCTGTAGCAGACAGGCGTTGAATACAAAAATTTATATTTTTGCAAAAAATTCTGGGAATTTTGGTAAAATCCTTATAATTTCCGAGAAAAAAAATATTGAAGTTGTAGTATTTTCAACCTTTATATCGCTGGACTGCTGTAGTCTCTAACGTCATTCGTGTTGTATGCTGTGAGCCATGCACTCTCTCTCCACATGTCTCCAAACAATTCCGAATACTGAAAATTGATGTTAGTATTTGCGTTTTTGCGATAGTGATTGCATTAGTTCTTCAAGTACCAAAAATGGCTTATGTGTATAACAACTCGAAGTTGATGGATATTGTTTTAATTTATGGTGAAGCAAGACAATTTGTGTTAGTTCGTGCTGGGTAAGACGGGTTCAAATGTGTTTACATGTCGGTGGACAAGATTTTAAACAGTTGTTGTAACATCAGGTATGTGAAATTATTTTATTAACTAGAACCACAAATTAATTTTATTAATTAATAATAACAATAATTTTATTTATTTCTTTCCTTGGAAAATAAATTTTTTCAATTTCATTATTATTACACTTTGCCGCCATGCTGGACATCGACAAGCTTCCAGTGTCGTGCAGAAGTGTATTTTTAAATCATTTTCGAACTGCCCTTTTTCATTTGTTTTAAAATTAAATGATAAATAATTAAATACAAAATTGTATTTGTAAGAATCCCCTGTAAATTCACATTTATTTTTTTTTTGATAAGTTCTGAATCACCCTGTATATTAGCATTTAATTATTTTTAATTAATTTAAATTTATTTTTTACAAATAAATACTAATGTATGTACTTAATTTTTTTCTACAGTTGCCTTTCTGTTTTTTATTTATATTTATTATATACTTAACCAAAACATGTAGTTTTATATTTTGTTGTGACCGTGAAGTTCTAATACATAAGTATTAGAATAGGTATATATTTTTTAAGTTTTGATAATTTAAGTCAAACAATTCATGTTGTATTTTTATGTTTTTAAAAATAAAATGTTTGTTTTAGAGTTTTCGTTATTTTTTGTTACACATTTAATTTAACAATTAAGTAGGGGCGCAAAATTACAAGCTTGCCTATAGTAAAAGTTCTAGTTATGGCACTGGGAACAAGGAAGCTTTAATATACATATTTTACTTATTTTTAATTTATCTCGTCAATATTACAATAATATATAGGGTGTTCCATTTAAAATAATGAACAGCTACCTCTGCTATAACCAGAAGTACTATGTTGACAGCATTATTTTAATTTTTTTTACCTTTGGTTTTTCTGAAACGTTTAATAGAGTCACAGTGAGGAACCCTGTATATTATTGCAAATAAGCAGGAGAGAGACAACTGTTAATTATTTGTAAAGGTTATGCTAAATTATATGATGCATTTCGATATTTTAT